TGTCTTTGGGCACGAAGGTAACACAACAATAGTACACAGGGTCAGCCCATCGTTGGGGGAGAAGGGTCGCCAAGTTATCAATATATTCATGATCCAACGAGGTGAAAAGTATCACTACATGTGGATAACACATCTCAGCACGACCAGTCGAAACACGTTGGGAAAAAACACTTTTGTGTGCGATGCCTACACGGTTTCAGCCGAGCTGATTTATTAGAATCCCACAGGGAGGATTGCCAAGGTGTGGGGCAGACGGCCATACGCGTCGACATGCCCAAGGATGGTGACAATATCCTAAAATTCGACAACCACAAGAACCAAATGTCTGTGCCTTATATCATATACGCCGACTTTGAAGCCTTGGTCAAACCTATTAAGGTTGTTGGGGATACCCCAACCACACTCAAAACACAGGAGCATGAAGCCTGTGGGTTTGGATATCGTGGTCGTCGTTCCGTTGTGACGGGAAACAAAGCTCGGTAGTGTACAGGGTCCCGGACGCGGCTGAAAGGTTTCTAAAGTGTTTGCAGGAGGAAGAAAAATTATTAGGAATGCACTGTATAGAGTGGCTCCCATGCGTATGACCCGAGCCGACCGACTAGCTCACGCCTGTAGCACTAATTGTCACGTGTGCGACTCACCACTGAATGGTGATTCCGTGAGAGATCACTGTCACGTAACCGGTAAGTATAGAGGCGCTCACGCCGCGTGTAACCTCAAGCTTAGAATCAACCCTAAGATAATAAACATCCCCGTTGACTTTCACAACTTGAGAGGGTGCGACTCTCATTTGATCATGCAGGCCATCGCGAAAATCGATGGTAATATAACGTGCATCCCCAACAACATGGAGAGATACATCTCCTTCAGCTTAAACGGTCTTAGGTTCATAGATTCAGTACAATTTCTATTGTCTTCATTAGACAGTCTGGTCAAGGCCAACGATACCTTCCTATCACCGACCGATACACAGACGCCGAGACTAGACCCCTGCTTATGAGGAAGGGTGTGTACCCTATGAGTACATGGATAGTTGGCCCAAGTTCGGCCGAGACCAGACTACCTCCCATCAGAGAATTTTACAGCAATCTGACCGACTCGGAAATATCCCAAAGACGATTACTGCACGCGCGATTAACGTATGGAATAAACTGGGTTGTAAGAACCTGGGGATTATCACGACCTGTACTTGAGGACAGATGTACTGCTGTTAGCCCGGCGTGTTTGAGACGTTTAGGCGGACATGTTTCAAGCAGTATAAACTCGACCCGCGATGGTATTACACCAGCCCAGGTCTGTCGTGGGATGCCTTGCTTAAAAAAGACCGGAGTTAAGTTGGAATTGCTTACAGATTATGACATGCACCTATTCATTGAGAAAGGCTTGCGAGGTGGGATCTCCATGGCAACCAAACGATACGCCGAAAAGCAAATAATCAATACATTGAAGGGTTACGACCCTAGCAAGCCAACCAATCACATTCTCTACCTCGACGCCAACAACCTGTAATGCGGCTGGGCTATGAGCCAGTATCTACCCACAGGGGATTTGAATGGGTGCCACAGGAGGTCGATGTTATGAGCATCGCACCAGATTCAAACAAAGGTTATATCCTCGAGGTTGACTTAGAATACCCTAAGGTATTACACATCACACAACAGCTACCCCTGGCCCCCGAACGTATGAGGGTTAACCCAGACTGGATGTCTGAGTACCAACATAACTTGTTAGGTGGGCGGGTGGCAGACGTTGAAAACTCGTGCCCTAACTTAATGAATAAGACCAAGTACATAGTTCACTATCGCAACCTACAGCTGTACCCTGTCGTTGGGTATGAGGCTGACCAAAATACACAGGGTGCTCATGTTCGACCAGAGCCCATGGATGGAACCCTACATCAGAATGAACACAGACCTCCAAAGCTTGCCACCAGTGACTTTGAGAAAACCTCTATAAGCTCATGAACAACTCGGTGTTCCCGGTAAGACTATGGAGAACCTGAGGAAACGCGTGACCGTGAAGCTGGTTCGGTCGAATGAGGAAGACAAGCTCAGGAGACTGATAGCCAGTCCGCATTCAACCGTAGCAAGATATTCACCGATGACCTAGTTGCCCTACACATGAAGAAAAGCCACATAAAATTCAACCGGCCTGTTTACGTGGGGATGAGCATCCTCGATTTATCCAAACACCTGATGTAACGACTTTTACTACAACGAGCTTAAGAAACAGTAACGACGACAGGTGTGAAGTGCTGTACACTGACACGGATTCCCTGCTGATGGAGATTCAAACTGAGGACGGTAATGCGAGGACATGAAAAACACCTCGATTTGTCACGACACCAGCGACTACCCCAAGGACCATGCCATACACAGTACGGTAAATAAAAAGGTCCTAGGTAAGATGAAGGACGAGTGTGCTGGCACGCCCATAGCCGAAAGTACATAGGGTTGAGGCCTAAGATGTACTCCATACTGAAAGCCGACAATAGTGAGATCCGGAAGGCTAAGGGTGTTAAGAAGCACGTGGTGAAACAACACATCAAACACGCCAGATTCAAGGAAGCCCTGTTCAAGACCCGTACCTTTAGACATAAAATGAACACACTTAGAAGTGATGGCCATAGGATATAACGGACTGACTATAAACAAGACGCCCCTGTCGCCTATGGATACTAAACGTTGGATAGCTATTGATGGGATAAACACGCGACGCTGGCAGACGGGCATGAGAAAATTGAACCAAGAACATAGATATATATATGTCGTCGGAACCAGAAAAGTTTGAGGCTATTTACTATAGCCCGTGGGTACTGGAAAGGAGCCAGCGCTGTAGATAAGCTGGCTAAAATGGCGCGAAAGTACCGCCGAGGAAGCCAAAGCGTGGCTTGAAAAACAAGCCCTGTGGCAGATCTATTTACCACCACCACGCCACGTGCCTAGAAGGAAGTTCGGCATTAACATACCTAATAGCGTTCACCAGGCAGACCTACTGTTCCTACCCACGATAAAAGGTACAAGTATGCCTTAACAGTCGTGGATGTAGCCAGTCGCTACAAGGAAGCCCGAACCCTTGACCACGAAAGATTCGGTCCAGGTAGCCAGAGGATTGAACATTATATACAAACGCCCAGTCCGCTGACGTGGCCAACAGAGCTGCAAGTTGACCCAGGGCGGGGAGTTCATGGGTGCCGTGTCACAACTGCTAGCCAAACACGATAGTTAAAGGTCAGAAGGTGGCGGCCGGAGCCCATCGCATCGAGCCAAGCCATAGTTGAGAGATTTAATAGGACTTTGGCTGAACGCTTATTCAGACATCAGTATGCGAGAGAGATGGCCACCCCGGGGAAGCGATCGACTGAATGGGTCACGAGGTTACCTAAGGTGGTGTCGGCAATCAACCATGAAGTCACCCGTCTCACCGGTAAAAAGCCGGCAGACGCTATCAAACTAAAATCAATAGTTGCACAGTCGGCCGCTCCTTTGCGTGGGAAGGAGAAACAGATACCAGACAGGGCCCTAGTGAGGTATCTATACCAGCCAGGGGAACACGAGGGTGATAGCCGTAAGCGAGCCACCGATCCTATATGGTCAGTCAAAACTTACAACATAGATAAAGTGGACATTAAAGCAGACGAGCCTAACTTGTACTACTTGAGGGATGGGCCGGGCAGAGGTTTTGTAAGAGAAGAATTATTGATCGTACCGTGCGGCACAGTGTTACCGCGATAGTGTCACGTGATCAGGAAAGTGCTAGTTCAGGATAGACCCGTTAAACCCGAGATGATTCAGCTATGTCCCCGGTAGCTCAATCGGTTGAGTGGTGCGCCCATTATGTATAGTTTCGCGAGCTATACATGTGGGTTCGTATCCCGCCGTTGCCTCAGGAGATTCCTTGCAACTTTGTGTGATGTGAGGTGTTTCGGTAAGGAATCAAGATCATATCAGTTGGGTCGCTTAAAGCACTTAGCTGAGAGGGCACTCTCATGGTGAGAGAAAGGCAGCCGGCACAATTCCCAAGGGGAGGAAGCGCAACATCATCTTTTCGATTTCACCCTTGGGGAATTGTGGCTGCCGGGGACATTTTACTACTTTTTAGAACCTTTCTATCTTTCTATGTCATAGCGGCACGTTATACGCAATCCCACACACTTCAGCCGCGGGAGTTCGTATCCCGCTAGCGTCCCAAACTTTTTTATAGTAGGGGTAATGGTAGCAAGAGCTAAGGGTCCGACCAAAGCCTTATTTGGGGAATAAGGCTTTGCAGAGGCTTTTGTTGGACTTGGTCCCGTACAATCATTCCCTCTACTACTGGTTGTTTTGATGTTTATTTTTACTTATTCAGGTACAACCCCATGTGAAGGAAAACCAAGTTCTATGGATAGTCAACTTCTATATTGCAATGAATGCGACATTTCAGTGTAGGTACTAACAAACGATCATTATTTTGTTGTCACGTTTTGCTATGTCTTATGAGGGGGGACCACTTGCTGGTAGAACAGCCAGGTAATCAACACGGGTGTGCAGTGCAATTTCAATTTCACATGTACAACTTGCACACCTGGCTGTTCTACCAGTAAGTGGAACCCCCTCGTAAGACTTAGCGAAAAGTGACAACATAATAATGGTCTTTTTTTTAACAACTTTTTTATTCGGGTGTCCAAAATTATGAGACAAATGATCAGAGTTGGTCTGTCGATTTCATGTGACTTTGCAAAATTTGGTTTTGTTGCAATTATTTGTTTTTGTGTTAGTGAGCAATTCATCGGTCTAAAATGAAATCAAACGGACTACAGTACCTACACCGAAACAGCGCACTCATTGCAATATAGAAGTTCACTATTAGAACTTGGTTTTCCCCTTTACAACTTCTAAAATGCCTCACAAAGAAGTTAACCTCATGTGAGTCTGGCCTGATAGAATATTTCAGTAAAAACTAAGCAGCTATGTGGTTTTGATTTTCCTGTTCAATGACTAATACTTTCTCCATTCTTTTAGGGAAGATCTACCCAAGCTGGAATTCTTTTCTCTGTGTTTGAAGGAGTCGTTGAGGAATAGAACGCCTGTTCCTTTCATCGAGCGCGAGCTGACGAAGGACACAGTCCTTGGGGGTATGTTCTAAGTATATCCTTGTGAATCTAGTTATTTGTAGAGGATATGAAGCCACAATGTATTAAATAATAACCTTTTATTCAAGTATTTAAATAATATATGGCCTGATGAATTTGGATGTTTTTTTAATAGATGAAATGAGATCTTACATTGTGTTCCATTAAAACAACAGTGCTTTCAATGAAGAGGTTGCAGTTTGAGATTCAGTACCTGTAAATATTAATTGAAACTTACCCTCTAAACTGGAAACACAGTTGTGGCTTACTGCCATTCTCCATGACACAAAGGGGCGGTGGGGTAGCCTAATGGTTAAAGCGTTCGCTCCTCACGCTGAAGACCCGGGTTCGAATCCCCACATGGGCACAATGTGTGAAGCCCATTTCTGGTGTCCTCCGACGTGATGCTGCTGGAATATTGCTAAAAGCGGCGTCAAACCAACTCAGTCAGTCAGTCCATGACACAAAGAGGAAAACAAAGATAATTTCTTTGGTAGAAGCATATGCATGTGTTCATGAATGCACATACATTTAGCAATACTGTAAATCTTGAAATTAATACTGTAAATCTTGAAATTTATTGAATGAAAAAAATGTGATTCATCTTTCATCGCATGAATTTAACTTCACATTTATGTTTAGAAAATAACAGTCACCAGTTGCATTAATTTGGATGTGCATTAATTTCAAGATTTACAGTATTTCAACTGTGATAGTGTACTTAAAGGAGTAAACCTTCCTGTGACAGTTCTGTGATTGATATAATGCATTGACATGCCATAAACCAAGTCACTGAATGAGACCATCCATGTTGAGGATCAGTTCTAACCTAGAATCCCCACACAGCTGACAGATGTACACTAAACCACTGGACACAGGTTGCATATGATTATTTATCACTGATTTGTCTAGAAGCTGGTCTGAGGATTCTTGTTTCTGATGTACCTGAAGGGCACTTGCTGTGGCCAATATGGTTCACATATATGGCTCGAGATATGAAATTTTAGTCCCTGGACCCATGTTTTCTTCAGGGTATGACGTTCCCAAAGGTTCATTTGTGGCTGTGCATCTATACAATCTGTGCCACAACCCCCATGTGTGGGATCGACCCCAGGAGTTCTATCCTGAGAGATTCCTTTCTGAAGAAGTGAAGGCACAGGACCCGTTTTCATATGTTCCCTTCTCTGCCGGATCAAGGTATTTACTCTGGAGATATACATATCTATGTCATATTTTGTCACAATGCTAAATTTGTAATGGAAAGACTGAGAAAGGAATTCTTTTCCAAAAATGTTACTTTCAAAGTCCTTAAAATCAGATGATTAAGTCAGAGGTAGGTATTGTGATTTAGAACCAGACCAATCAAAATTAAGAATATTTTTTGAATTTCTGATAGTCATAATTTTATTTACACCAGTCCATACAAACCATATGTAAATGTACATTTGGTTAAAATGTCTGATTTTTAACCCAAAACATATTTCATTTTTGTCTCCATTGGAAGTAAACCTTTGCTGCATGTGAGGAATTAGAAGGTCAACGGCCATATTTCCATCTCAGATGGTGTTGCTGATTGTGTCCCCCACTGTGATATTGCTGGAATATTGCTAAAAGTGGCGTAAAACCATACTCACTCACTCACTTTAATCAAAAACATATTTAATTTTTGCCTCCTTTCTTAATCCCTGTCTGTGTCTATTTTAGGAACTGCATTGGGCAGAACTTTGCTATGCATGAAATGAAGGTCGTCCTTGCACGAATACTACACAGGTAAGTACGTTTCAGTGTCCTTCTACTGTGAAAGGCAGGACATAAGATTTGTGATTATGATGTGGTACATTATCAGTTTCAGCAATATGACAGGAGTATATGTGGTTTGTGCATCCTGTATTAGGAACTGCACTGATAATGGTACAACTTACTATCTTGCCTACTTTATTGAAAGGTGATTTTCTTTGATCTGTAAGCAATGTACTACTTTATGCTTTTCAGTGGAATTTGTTCTCCTACTCACATGTTTATTTCCCTCCCAGTACTTTATCAAGATCATATGAACCAATCAGATTCAGCAGTCAGAGAAGATAAGATAAAGGTAACATAATGTCAGTTGTCCGGCATCTGGCCTTCTGTTGTCCTCTTATAACATCTGTTCTTTTTGGGATTACGCTTTCTGAGTAAAGTGCTGATTCTAGTACATTTCTGTGTTTGGCGTGTACAGGACCCTAGCACCTAAGTGACCGTTCATAATTTATTGCCAGAGGGAGTGATGATAATTTTAAGGGGGGTCACCCATTTTGGTGGTGGTGGTGTGTGTGTATGCGTGCATGATCAATTTTGTACCCTTGTACTAGGGGGGTCATCAATTTTGTACATAAATTGTACATAAACATATTTAAAATTATGCTAAAAAAAATATCGGAAGGGGGAGGTCATTGATTTTCTACATGACATGCAGGGGGTGGGTGGGTTTCACTTACTTTGTACATAAGTTTTTGGGGGGTCAGTCACATTGTACACGCTTCTCCGTAAAAATCATCATATCACACACACACACACACTCTCTCTCTCTCTCTCTCTCTCTCTCTCTCTCTCTCTCTCTCTCTCTCTCTCTCTCTCTCTCTCTCTCTCTCTCTCTCTCTCTCTCTCTCTCTCTCTCTCTCTCTCTCTCTCTCTCTCTCTCTCTCTCTCTCTCTCTCTCTCTCTCTCTCTCTCTCTCTCTCTCTCTTCCACAAAAAAGGAAGTCTGACTACTGGCAGTCTAGATAACCTACTTTGTGTTCCTCTCTGAGAAGTGTGGTAGGTGCATCATGCCTGAAGCTATGAATACACATTGCCTTTTAGAAAGTGGTGAAAGGTAGTTCTTAAAGTGGTTCATTTAAGGTTGAGTGAAATGGGTTTAACATTAATGCTCGGAGTTTTTGTACTTAAATAGTCATGTACATATGTGTATATGTGTAAGTTTGTGGCTGTACTAGTTAGATACTGTCGCTGGTATTATAGTGCTATATAGTAATTATGATATTATAGTGAATTCTAAGATGCCTAGTGGTTAGAACAATCGGAAAAAAAATACATTATCAGACAATAAAGGTATAGTTTTTTGATGACGTAACAATTGAATGACGTTATCCCGTCACTGCGCCATTCTAGTGTGCCCCCTCGTAATCAATTATTTTACATTACGTCACAATGTAAGTGACGTCACGATGCATGTCAGTTGTCATCGCCTCGTACGGCCTCCTACAGTAAACTACTCCGTTGCATCCCGTTTCTTGGTTTGCATTTGCTTCACGCAGCTAACATCACTGGTGGAAACATTACGTTTATGTTTTACGACGGTTAAAATGTGTCAATTCGACTCACCACGTTTTCGGCATTGACGGTAACGTTCGCAATGTTTACATACCCACAATGCAATCGTGGAATGTAAACTGACTACTCAGCTTCATCTGGATGTACTGATCTAAACTTACGTTGGTAGTAGAAATGCGACGTTCATATTGCCCCATATGGTTTTACGTTAATGACAGATGTAATTAAATAATTCAGAGAAGATATTTAATCCGAACGTAAACCGTCATCAAACTGTTATCATTTGTTTTTTCTGGTAACGTTAGGTCTTAACGTAGGGGAGCTGACACATCAATAGAACAGCGCACCAGTTAGCCCTGTCGCGAGGATTCTTAACTTAGGCCACCGACACCGTCGTTTGTTTTCTGCCTTAAATTAATCGTAATTATCCTTAGAAAGTATTAAATTTAGCATCTTAGAAAAGATGTAAAGTTAAGCTCTACCCCAATGTGTTTTGTAATAAAGTATAGTTTTGCCCTGAACTATTATAACATCAAAGCACTTTCGGACTACCGTCCTCGTGCTTTAATTAAAATAGTTCAGGGCAAAACTATACTTTATTACAAAACACATTGGGGTAGAGCGAACTTTATAACTTTATAACATCAAAGCACTCGGACTACCGTCCTCGTGCTTTAATTATAATAGTTCAGGGCAAAACTATACTTTATTACAAAACACATTGGGGTAGAGCGAACTTTATTTCCTAAACAACATGCCACAGTTTAGCATTGATACCCCACTCAGACAGAGAGTGTGGATTCTGATCAAATCAGTTCAAGCTAATCAGACCCGTGAAGATCTGGGTTAGAATTACTCTTCAGTAGCCCATGCTTGTCGTAAGAGGCGACTAATGGGATCGGGTGGTCAGGCTCGCTGACTGGGTTGACACATGTCATCGTATCCCAATTGTGTAGATTGATGTTCATGCTGTTGATCCCTGGATTGTCTCGTCCAGATTCGATTATTTATAGACCGCCGCCATATAGCTGGAATATTGCTGAGTGCAGCGTAAAACTAAACTCACTCACTCACTTCAAGCTAATCAGTTCTTGCTATGTAACCTTCATGGTGAGTGTCAGGCATGGAAACAATAAATAAGTTTGGACCACCAGCCTTCTGCTCTCAGAGCAGACACTTTTAACTAGACAAAGGCCGGTGTCCTTTATTCACTGTCTGTCTTCATATTGTAATGGAACGGCCAAGGACTTGTCGATAACTACTAGTAGACAAACTACAAAAATATAATGGATGCTGCCACCAGACAGAAAATTTGACAAAATACATACAGGTTTAGGGAAAATATATCACAAGAACCTGACAAATAGTGAATATCGAAACTGACGAAATGCAGATGGATCACACAAGTAGATAAAGTTCAAATAACGAGTTTATTGATTAAGCATTGAACTGAAAATACTAGGTCTCAACACCATACCGACTGTCATCTTGACGGACTACATTGCTCGTCATCCAGGTGGCTGTAGTAGTCCCTGTCCCACTCAGATTGAGAACCCTGGACAGATTAAAACCAATTAACTGTACAATAAACTTTGAAACTTGAAAGTGCATGAACTTGCAGCAACCGGAACTGGGTCCATATAATGTAAACTATACATTCCGGAAGTCATGTGACCCAGAATGAAGCCAAGGAGGCCACACCTCCGACAGCTGTCAAAATGTGACGCAAGTAAGAATGAAGCTGAAACTTAATTACAACTTAAAGTGAAATACGTAGGTTTCAGCTTTAGACGATCCCAGTAATCCCTGGAGAAAGAAAACCCTTGGCAGAGACTGCAACTGGATAATGTAAACATAGCAGGTTGGAATGACCTTGGACCTAGATCAGACATGAATTTTTGTTCCAATATTTTGATTCATTATTGACAAAATCGTGTTTTCTTCAAGGTTCACCCTTCGCCTTGATGAAAATCACGACATCAAGATGCTGACCTTAGCTGTATTGAGAGCAGAGAATGGAATCAAGATGTATGCCACACCAAGGACGCCTGCCTGAGGGTGCCATGAAGTATGCCTCACTTCCATTGGGATTTGTACAGTGTTACAGGAATTATAAATGTGCTTTAGCTTCAGCTTTCTTGTTTGTCACTATATTCTCTCCTGTCATGTCTGTTTCATGTTCACAGTGTGTGTTCTGTTAATGATGTAATGAAACAGGTTTTCAATTAATTGTGATGTTATCATTGTGCTGGTTACGCCACCTAGATTTTAATTGTGATGATAGTATATTCTTTATCAATATAGTATTTCAAATTTGTCTGCAGGGAATTACCTTGAGTCCTGTATTTGAGGGTCCCTTGAACTCATACTTTCAAGGGTCCTGGACAACAAAATGGGGTTCCCAGACACTTAAATATTATTATTATCCTGAATAAAATATTTTGGGGTTTCCATGGCACAAGTTCGACTTAGACTGAAATTGGTGGTAGTGCTCTTTTTCGAGCAGAACTCTAAAACCGTTCAATATGTCTTCACCAAACTTGGCACATAGATAGATCTGGTGGTGTAGTGGTGCCTTTTGGTAGTTTTGGAATTCTGAATAAAATATTTTTGGCGTTTCCATGGCAACAAGTTCGACTTAGCCTGAAATTGGTGGTAGTGCTCTTTTCGGAGCAGAACTCTAAAACCGTTCAATATGTAGATCACCAAACATGGCACATAGATAGATCTTGTGGTGTACTGGTGCCTTTTGGTAGTTTTGGAATTCTGAATCAAATATTTTTGGCGTTTCCATGGCACAAGTTCGACTTAGACTGAAATTGGTGGTAGTGCTCTTTTCCGGAGCAGAACTCTAAAACCGTTCAATATGTAGATCACCAAACATGGCACATAGATTGATCTGGTGGTGTACTGGTGCCTTTTGGTAGTTTTGGAATTCTGAATCAAATATTTTTGGGGTTTCCATGGCAACAAGTTTGACTTAGACTGAAATCGGTGGTTGTGCTCTTTTCCGAAGCAGAACTCTAACACCATTCAATATTTCTTCACCAAACTTGGCACATAGATAGATCTGGTGGTGTACTGGTGCCTTTTGGTAGTTTTGGAATTCTGAATAAAATATTTTTGGCATTTCCATGGCAACAAGTTTGACTTACACTGAAATTGGTGATAGTGCTCCTTTCTGGAGCAGAACTTTTAAACCCTTTCAATACTCTCCTTCCACTTTTCTATGTACACACCTAAATATTTGACATAATCATAACTCGTAGACATAATCATGAAGAGTATTTTGCCATTGCGGGGGATATTGATGACTTTGTCTTCTTGTTAATACTGCTATTGTATTGTGTATCATGATCATCACATTGTTACAGTAATTAAATTGCAAATAATACCATAACCCAGCTAGTAGCAAATTCGGTGATAACTTACTGTCGCTTTATTGGAATTTTTATAAAAAGTATTTCGACTTTTTCTGAGTCACTGTGGATAAATAAATAAATTTTGTTGCATCCATTGTCAATTTTTCTGCATATAGGACGCAGGAATTCACGTCCTGTAAATCCCTGTGTCTGTGTAAATACACTAGTCTTTTGATAATAATCATATTAGGAACCCATCACTGTCTCACTGTGCCAAACCTTATTATTTCCCCCCTCCATTTCACCCTTATTGTAGTGTTGTTGTGCTAAATACAGTAAGGCTATGTTTTCCACAAGTTCGAATCTTACTGTGGGCTCTTTTAGACCTGTTTCTATCAAAGTGATATATTTCTATAGATTACGCATCAGTAACACCCAATATTCATAAAAAATATTGTAAGGGGCAGAATGTGTATACAAAATACCTGTCCTAATTTCTTCAGACAAGGTTAAAGGTCACATGCAACGTAAAACACAACTTTGCAGATTCTGATACCTTTCGGTATGGACTTACCGAAACAAAGCGTCAAAAATGCAAATTCAACTTATAAAGTTGAAAAATAACGCGATGAAAAACACCGCGTGAAATCGGAGTTCAAACGTTTCACTAATTTTCCCCATACTTTTCTGTTTCAACAGCTGGGCTGCGCTCATAGCACGTGCGCAGTGAAATAGGTTCGCGCAACTTGGAAGCGGGCTGTCTGGTGAATACTCGGTGAAGGCTTTGGTGTGAGCTATTTTCGTAATGTTTTGTTGATATCTCACAGGCGCGAGCTTTTTATATGTTATGACAGTAAATAAACTGTTTATATAATTTCATTTGTCTATTTCACCACACGTTCTTCTTACCGAGTCACTTTCTCAGTTCGATACTTAAAAGCAATGTCATTATTTAGCGTTGACACAATTTCTAACTGTGATATAGATATGTCGCTGTCACAGACAAAACTCAATGTCTTGTTTTATTGACACCTGTGTGTCTGCCTGCCTGTCTGCTAATGACAACATTCAATACACAACTGCGATCACTGACCACTTGCAATTTGAACTTAACACCAATCAGGCTATACACCATAAACAAAATGCATTGATTTATGGCCCGAGTTCGGCCTCTGTCACATTATGTAATTACACAGACACGCAGGTGTGATACTTGAACACATGACATGTTATGATGTCTGTTGATTGCAAAATGTTATACACAAAAAATGAGCATGTATTTACAAAACCTAACATCTCTATATATACACACACAATGAGCCGTGAAGACGGCAACTGCTAATGAACCAGCCGTTACATTTGAGTGCACACCCACCCGCTCTGACTGGGTTCGGTATCCCGGCTGCTTCGTTTCGAGGGAGGTAAACCCAAGTACAAAATATTGCACTTTTGATTTGCGATTATACGCTTATAATTTTGTTTATTTGTTTTTTCATAATCAGCAATGCATATTATATGTCATGAAGAAGTGATAATTGTGTTTTAATTATGTTTGATTTTTTGGTTGCATGTGACCTTTAAGCTTTTGTATATAATAACACACAGTAAACTATGTTTATATGGAACATGATTATAACAAACTGTTTCCTCCGGTCTGCATGCTGAGTATTTTAGTTGAAATGTGAATAAAGAACAATGGTTATGATGAACTAAAATTAGTGGACCCTTTGAGTCTGTTTTAAGGAACTAAAATTAGTGGACCCTTTGAGTCTGTTTTAAGGAACTAAATTTAGTGGACCCTTTGAGTTTGTTTTAAGGAACTAAATTTAGTGGACCCTTTGAGTTTGTTTTAAGGAACTAAATTTAGTGGACCCTTTGAGTCTGTTTTAATGAACTAAAATTAGTGGACCCTTTGAGCCTGTTTTAAGGAACTAAAATTAGTGGACCCTTTGAGCCTGTTTTAAGGAACTAAAATTAGTGGACCCTTTGAGTCAGTTTTAAGGAACTAAAATTAGTGGACCCTTTGAGTCTGTTTTAAGGATCTAAAATTAGTGGACCCTTTGAGCCTGTTTTAAGGAACTAAATTTAGTGGACCCTTTGAGTTTGTTTTAATGAACTAAAATTAGTGAACCCTTTGAGTTTGTTTTAATGAACTAAATTTAGTGGACCCTTTGAGTGTTTTTATTATGGAACTAAGGAACTAAATTTAGTGGACCCTTTGAGTCAGTTTTAAGGAACTAAATTTAGTGGACCCTTTGAGTCAGTTTTAAGGAACTAAAATTAGTGGACCCTTTGAGTTTGTTTTAGCCAAAGTTTACTCCATATGATTATGATAAAAAAAATTCATCCACTGCAAGCTATTAGTTGATTCAGCTGTTTTCTTGCCTGATCTCAATTGAACTGGGCTTAGTGGTGAATGAGACTATAATGTGTTTGTGATAACAGAACTGAGATAATTTATCCTGGATTTTTGTGGATTCCTGATCACAGTTTTTGTTGTTTCTCATCCATGTTCATGTCTAAGCTTTTGTAAATAACACTCAGAAAAGTGTTTCTAAAGAACACACTTATAACAAACTATTTGTTTGGCGTCGGCCACATGCTGTGTATTTCCGTTGAAACCGAATTAAAATTTGTGGACCCTTTGAGTTCGTTTTAGCCATAGTTTACTCCATATAATAATGATTAAAATATATTGCATGGTATTAGTTGATTCAGGTGTTTACTTGCTGCTAGTTGCATTATCTCAATTGAACTGGGCTAAGTGGTGAATGAGTCTAGTGTATATTAACAGTAGTAAGATAATTTTACTGTACGGTTTTGGATCCTCGATCATGTTTTTTGTTGTTTATCATCCATGTGCAGCTTCAGAATCACAGAAATTCACATGCTTTTAGCTATTGTGTATATTGTCACATTATCATTCACTTGGGTATTGATTTTTTCTTTTGGTATTCAATATGTTTTATACCCTTTGTGTCTGATCTGTAGACATTTCTGTTTCTGCTAGAAATGCTGATTCCGTCGACTTTGTAGTTTGTATCTGTTTATGCGTATTTGTTTGCAAGCAGCTCAAAATTTTGTTAATGATGATTTGATTTGTATATTTACACAAATGTAAACAAATATCTGTTGCTTTTTCAATTTTCTTGTCTTTTAGTATGAGGTGTCATGGCGGGAAGTCATTGTGCTCTTGGAGAGGTCAGGTCAAGGTTGCAGTTAGTTGTTTGCAGTGAACTTTGCATGTCTTTTGCATGTAGTCATATGTGACTTAAGCAGTGAGCAAAGACAAATTATTTTCAGTTTAGTAATTCCCCATGTAATTGTTGTGTAGTGTAAATGTTGTTGACGATTTTGAAAGATGAAATCCATATTATGTCTGTATTTAAACATTGGATGCAAACTGTACTATTACAATGATGATTGTTTTATGCTCTTGTCTTTCATTATTGTGTTGACTATAGAATGGCGATTTGTTAGCAAGCCTAGAAGGTTTTTTTTGAGTGGTTAGAAAATCCTCTTTGTCTTCCTATTCAATAACAATCATATGGATCAGTCTATAGGTTTCTGATTACACTCATTTCATAAACCGTACCATGGAGTGTGCATTTAAGCATTTAAAAAGTGTTTTCCCATCATGGTTATTGGCTAAAAATAGGTACTTTGCAACAGATGACAATCACAACTAATTTCTCTTAATTCATGATATTTATCTCATACAAGTAATTTGTATGGTTGTCTTTGTTTTGCTTTATCTCATAAGACTCCAGCTCAAACCAAAGCCTGTGAATGAATTGAATAGGTTCACAATATATATGATAATATACAAGTCAAAGAAGTTAAGAACAACTTGATTCATTCATATTAGTACAGTGAGTCTGCCGTGCCATGAATTACTGTCCTGTCTGAAACTGTATTCAGTAGCAGATATATGTAACAGGACTTCCAGCATGTTATCAATGATGTGGATTCAATGTTATGAATATTTGATCTAGTCTATACAAGTGTTGTACAATTATATGTTTACAGATATCAACGAATGCATCTTACCAAGTAA